TGCCATGGTTCAAAAGTTCATGCCAATCGGATCTTATGATCAAGCTGAAAGTAAGTATACAACATTTGATTATTTATCTCTGCTAATATCCTGCAAGTTCAATCAATTGTAGATCGCCTGGGTGATTACCAACAGCGTCATGGAGATCTTCCTGCCCCTACAGTAGCACAAATTCTTGAGGCTGACAGACCATTCAGGATGGCATGAGCTGAAACATGCGACAAGCTGTGGAAAGCAGATGCTGACCTCTGGAGGATGCAAAGGGTAAGGGAGTCAACCTCCAAAATGCTGAAGGTATTAGATACCCTCATTGAGGCCTTTGAGGACTCAAGTAACATGTAAATATTGATCAATGTCTGATAGTAGACACATTGCAGTATACTTTACCTGCTAAGTGCTTAATACTTGGTACTTGTATACTCTACCTACCCAGTACTCGCTGCCCAGTTTTCTGTGCTCAGTACTTGGTGCTTGGTACTTGGTACTTGGTGTTTGATACTCGATGCTTGGTACTCGGTGCTCGGTACTTGGTACTTGGTGTTCAGTACTCGGGCCTTGGTACTCGGTACTCGGTGCCCGGCATTCAGGGTTCAGTACTCGGGGTTCGGTACTCGGGCCTTGATACTCGAGATTTGGGATTTGGGATTTACAATTAGGTCGTTAGTACTTTGACATATACATAATAGCACATATGACATTACACATGAGGGCAGGAACATATATGTACATTAAGTGCATCCCCATGCTCTGGTTACTCTAGGTGTACTGTCTACTGGCATTCGCAACTTACTCCAGGTCATCCTCGTGGATGGCTCAACAGTGACTCGAGTGCCCCGCCTCCTTTTCTGTGCTGGCGGTGTGATACTCTCTTCCATTTCAACATCATCTCTAACCTCGCCCGTCGCATCTTCAGTTAACCCAGCAAGGAGGTCTCCCATTCATGATGTCAGTAGTGCACCTTTTTTGGCCGGCTTGGCTGGGCGAGGCTTTGGAATTGCACGTGGGACTGCTGGCCCTCTGGGTGTAGGATCTCCCATCCTGTGTTTCTTCAGCATAGGTCTCCCGTCAGCCAGGTCATCATCCACATCATGCTCCATATGATGAGTGGCACTCTCCTTATCACTCTCGGCTTCTGTCGATGACTCCCGAGGCCTTTGGATGGTAACCCTCTGCTGCCTTTTCACTATACGAGTCTGAGGAGAGGGCGAGTTGCCAGATATGACAGGTGGTATCATGTCCCCATCTTTGTTCTTCCATACTTTGAACAGAAATGTGGGACCTTCACCTGTTTCCTGCCGAGCGCACCAGAAATGGAGCAAGGTAGTGGTGTCCCAAATTTGCAGCTTCAAAGGTTCCTTCAAGTCAACATCCGCTGGAAGATATGTCTGGGCCACAAAGTCATCCTGACTTTGTACAATGGCACTCCATGATACAACTGCCTTGTCCTTCCTGGAGCATATCCCTTTGTCCATGCATTGAACAATTTGTTAGGTGATGCGACAACAAACTCACGATAGTGCAATGTAAGAAAGGCCCTCACTATGGCCTTCTTCTCCTCAAGTTTGGTGTTGGTGATGTCCGGAAGGAGTGGCATACCCTCCCTGTCCATTTCAAGTTCGAAGGCTGGTTTTCAAATTCGTTTTCGACCTCCCTTGACCTGACGTCCTCCATTCTGTGCCCTGGCACCTATCATTGTGATGCTCAAAATGTTCAATCTGGTATACATGGTTCAAACACTCACCGAACTGTTCCTGCACGTACTCCTGCCACACTGGCTCAATGTCCTCCCAGTCCTTCGTCTTCATGAAGCTGTCCTCATCTCCTAAGGCCTCATTATCATCATGCCTGCATGAATATTTTGAGACGAAAGATCTCCATCAATGGATAAATGTACTCACATCCCAAACAGCACCTTGCCCTTTTCATTCTTCCAAGCCGACATCACAAACACTCTCATCCCACATTGCCTCCACATCTCGCTCAAAAAGTGCTCCATATATGCTGGACCCTTCTTATGAGCCACTTGTGCTTGTATCTCCAGAGGTGGACAGTTGTTGGACCACTCTTCGGCTATTTCTTTTGCCTTCTCCAACTCGTCGTCGTCCAATTCAGCCATGACTCTCTTCACCGCTGCCTGATAATATTTGAACATACTAAGATCTCCTGGCTTTACCCTGGACTCGTCCTCAATCCTCTTCAGCACCTCTTCGCATTTCTGCTGGTAGACCACCATCCTGGGCGTCCATTTCCTCCCATACTTGATCATGTCCTTCCTTTCCTTCTTTTTCTTGTTGTTGAACAACCAAGTCTTGTACACCTAAGAGTTGATGAAAGAATGTGACATTGAAAATTTAGTTTTTCAACACAACAAAGAAGCCTCACCTGCTTCCTCTTTTTCCATTGTTTTTGGTCCAACTTAGGAGCAATCAACCTGGCTGCCCTTGCTATGGCAGTGAAAATTGCTCGCTTCTCACTCCTTTTGGCAGCAGTCCACTCAGGAAGGTAGTTCTTCAACTCCAAAATCTCCTTGTCCGTGAGCTTCTGAGACTGTGGTTGACGCATCCTGTGTCTTCCGGAAGTCGTGTTGGTGAAATGACCTGTTCTTGCCATAGTGAATCAGAATGCAGAAATGGCTAAGGATTTGCAAGGTGGAAGTATTAATGAATTGTGCGAAGTTGAACTTCGAGCAAAGCCTAATGATGGGTTAATCGGCCCATATTGGAAGAGAAGCCATTAATGGAAATGAATTTGTAATGAGCCAACAGGACTGCACGACATCATATTGCAATAACAATTCATTACACCTGAGCTGATGCCTTGCTTGCAACATTAGTAAACAAGATGAAGATAGGTAGATGCACCCCAGTACAAAAATCTCACAGGGTGGAAGCAAGGGGCAGCAAAGGTAGGAAGACTTGGGTCAAGGTCCCACTTGCAAGCACGAGGCGACATGCCTACAGGTCCATGCCTAACTCTCCCCCAGAATCACCAACAATTCAGCCTGTTGAGGCACCACCTTGAATGTGGCACCTCGGCGATGAACTATTACAGCAAGCTCCGGTGAATGACCTCCAGCATGTTTCCACACCTTGTTCCAGTAATGCCTTACCCTCTTCATCTACTGGACATCATATTGACAAAGCACATTACAAGGACCGATACAGAGAGCTCATGAGGGTTGCTCGACAGTGGAGGCAGTTGAAGACAATGAAATGGCATGGCTTTGGCCATCATTCTGATAACCCGAGCACAGGAGAACTTGCATTATTTTGCCCGGCATGTCCTCAGCCTGGGATTAATGTGCTGTTGTCAGAGGATGAATCTCTTGATTGAGTGAGTCCTATTCTCAACCGCTGTGGCCTCCATAATAATACTAGTGATCCAAGCTGGAAATACACCCGGTCATTTGTGATGGACGGAAATTTCAAAGCCGAACATCTGCATCCCATTAAGCCATTCGATGAAGTTTGGCTGTCTGATGGGCTTGGATTCATGGTAGGAAAGGACAGGTATAAAATGCATCTGGCAGAGGCTGCTGACACAGTGGAAAAATCAAGCTGCAACAATCACTGGGCAGTAAATCAAGCTAATGCTGCTCAGCACAAGCTGGAGTCCACCGGTATCGGGGGAGTTGCCTGTGCCAGACATGGTTGCTTTGTCCCTCACTCCATGGTGGATTTTCAGAAAGGCGAAAGGCAAGCCACATCCACCATTCCCCATTCACGAGTTAACCATGGGTCACTTGCAGACAAATGAACATGGACTACGCCCTTTGCGAGGCTTCCCAGCATAACATGGAAGGCATCACCAGGGCTGTCACCTTCTATGATATTAATTGTCAATACAACAAACACTTTCGGGTTCGGGTGGATCAAAGTCGATTTCTAGAAATGGCACCACAACTAACCATCATTCCTGGAATTGGGTTGTCGCACGTTCATGGCCATCAGGACAGCTGCTATGTCCAATATGCTTCTAACTTTATTGAAGGCATTGGTTGGATCGATGGAGAGATCATGGAGACGCTATGGGCACGGCTCAATCTGATCTCCTCTGCTGCTCAGGGAATGTCATCTCTGCACCGAAAGGAATGCCTTGATTATCAGATGAATGACTCCAATTTCTGCAAGATGATTCACATGAAAAGGACTCTATGCCAGAAATACAAACTGGCTAGGAATGGCATCTCAGAAAGTGGAAAGGCATTTGACAGACTTGATGAAGCAGCACCCTCACATTTGAAGACAGAATGGTTAGCCAGGGAGAGGATAGCTCAGTCAAGCAGATTGAATGATCCTTTAGCCATGGATGAATATGAGATCAATATTAAAAAGGGTACATTGAGTTCCATTGTCTCCATCGAGGTCTGAATTAATATTGCACTCAGCACCTAGCAAAAAGGAGATCAAGCTTAGATTGTTAGAGGAGGGTAACGCCCGCAATGCAGCACCCTCTCGCAGATCTGTGGCAACATGGATATCAACAGGGTTAGCAATTGAAGAGGCTCAGATTGCATTGCTCATTGAGGTCCGAAGGATTGGAAGAAGATCCACCGAGACACAGAGATTAGACATCGCCCGTCAATGAGATCAGCTCCAAGGCCAGATAGATGGATTTGCTCGGTCTGCTCTCACACATCTCAGGGAGGGATTTGATTTGATGATGAACCTGAGGACTTGGACATAGACATTCTAGATGATCTCGATGATGACCCAGCAGATTTCACAGAGACATCTCATACATGGACAAACTCTCCCAAGCTCACTGTAATCCCATTGCCATCAAACCTGGGGGTTGATAGATGCAGACGATGCATGGTAGAGGATCTGATTCCCCTGGAGATGTCGCTTCGTGAAGGGCAGGCCAATGATGCCCTTCACAATCTCTGCATTTACCTTTGCAACAAGGCCATCCTGTTCTGAACAACTGTTAGGCAGGCCAAATCCCAGGCCCTGAAAACTCGAGCTTGGTCCCAGGTGACGTCGGTGCAGCAGGCAGTCTCCCTCCATGCCAGCATATATACAAAGACAAGGAAGCAAATGATGAAACTTGAGCCGGGGCAAGACCAGCTTCAGAAATACAAACCCCTGCTTCGCGAGCAACTCAAAATCAGCACTGCAGTGGGCAACCCAAATGCCCGAGGTCAACGAAATGAATCTTTGGCTTGGTTTTGGTCTGTTGAAGTCGACCTCAGGGGTCCTGATCAATCATGGAATGAGGAATGTGAGTTTCTGCTTGCATGTCATATCCCGCAGTTACCTGACTAGACCCAATCCAAGTTTACCAAGTCCATTGGCTGAGGGCAAAGGCACTACAGGATCAATGGAGGAAAGAAATGCTATTGGTCAAATTGGAGATGGATTGGACATGTAAGTTCTTTTTGTGGAAAACAACCCAATGGGGCAATCACATGCAGGAATCATTGGAGAAATGCCTTCTGGGTCACGGTGTCTTCTTAGATAGATGATCTATAGATAAACACCTATAAAAACAAATATCTCCACGGTCAGCGATTCAGACAAATACCAATGACTGATAATGTGGTCGTTCATGGGTGGCTAGTTGTATACTACCCAAGGTATGTTCAGCTTAAGGATACTTCTGCAAGATCAGTAATACGATGGTCAATCCAATCTATGGACTTTGACAGGAAAACAATCAAACAATGGTCAGCCCGACAGTATGGCAATGACCAAAAGAATATACAGGATTCTGCCTCAAGTTCCCTTCCAACAACAGTGCTTCGTACCAACTATACTCCAAAGAAATGGTGCAGAATTACAATGATAAACCCCCTCAGCACAAAACAGGTAGAATCAAAGGTCAAGACTAATCAAATGCTTTATTGTAGAACTCTTAGCTCAATATTGAACCTGCTGTCAAGGAACTCTTCTTTGAGTATTCAAACAGACTCAGGAACGGACGTCCTTGGGTTTACTACCAAGTCCCCTCTTCAACGGCTAAAGCCTAGCAGGCACAGAATATCTTGGCTCAGTATCGCTACTCAGATGAGTGAGGTCAAGCTTCACTATCAATTCCTAAAGTCTCCCCACTATGCTACTTCTGAGTCTTAGGTGGACGTAGAGACAACACGAATATTTTGGAAATATATTTCTGGACAAAGACCACCAAAGGTTGGTGAAAGTAAAAGAAAAGAAAAAGAATAATAGAAATCAGAATATAACTGTGGCTGTACCTTGCTTGCTGGTTGTTGCACACAGTGAGCTCACAGCTGGTCATTCAGTATGATGAGCTTGCAGTATTACTGTCTCTTGAGAATGTTCCTCTTAGTCTTAAGACAGTTCTTGACACTGGTACTGACACTTATCACACCTTACTCACAACTTAGTGTTGGATGGGCTGAAAAACACCCTACTATCTGCTGCTGTTCGCTTGGTATTATTTCAAAAACTGGGGTCATTATATACACAATAAATGTGGCTGTGCTACTAGTGTATTCAAGAGTCATCAAGAGTCATAATGAGTCATATGTGCAAGGTGAGTCATAGTGAGTCATATATTCAGAGGGAGTCATAGTGAGTCATTGGGTATTTTGCTAAGTCATGTGACCTGTCCAACCCCTGATGACAAATCCAGAAGGAGAGTAAGAAGTGTCACATGATATGAATCCTGTGTGTGGCTGTCTTTGCTTTGCTTTGTTTGAAGGGTGAGAATGACGTGAGCCTAGTATTTAGGGGTTTACTAATGTTTTTCCAGGACAACATATGTGGGAAATATTTTTCACAGTCACCTGACATGTGTGGGATTTTGTCTGAGTCATCACCATGGCTGACTAAGCAAAACTCATCGCAGAATTAAATATACAAAAATATTCAGGCTGCTGGTATACAGACTTGGAAAATAAAAAGAAAAGCAAAAAATATTCCTTTAGCCTCAGTCCAACTTCAGATAAAAGGGAAAAGGGTTTCATAGTGGTATTTCAGGGTATATGACTCATGAGAGAGTATTGGTCGTCAATGCACCGAACCGGTTTGGTGCAGGTCACCGGCCCATCCATCATAGTCGAGGATATTTTTATCCTGGGCCCATGGTCCACTGGCCCATATCATATGGGATATTATGCAGGTCCATTCCCTCATATTATACGGAGATAGGTCACTGTAATATGTGGACAGGCATCAGGCGTCAAAAGAGGGAGCTCTTTCATTTCATAGCTATGGTAGCTATGTTGTGCCTTCCCATGTTGGTTCGAGATCGCCTCAACCAAATCTATGTTGACGGCCTGGTCAATTCCCTCGACATCAAGAACTTTGTCAACAACTTCAGCGCCCAGATCACAGCACAAATAACTCTGGTGAGTGATATATTCCTAGGGTAGAGAATGAGAACTCATTTACCTGTGGCAGGCAGGTGTCATCATGGCAATTGACGCCAGTTTCCTTGCTGTCCAAGGTGTAGGTACAGGAATGGTAGCAGAGTCTATTTTGAAGGGATCTATTATATTTTGTGTGGGCTGCATGTTTTCAGGGTTGTTCGCGCAATACTTTGAAGAGAAATTGAAAACACTGAGATTTGTGGTTTGTTTTATTCTGTGTTCTGCAGCTATAAGTCTGACATTATCACTTAAGCATATTATCTGGATCAGGGAATGACAGTTGTCATTGGGGTGTTCAGCGCACCTAGGTTTTTTTGTGTCATGAGGCAAGTAAATTTCGGATTACAGTCCCCTTACTTTTACTCACAAAAGATGTAATTCAGTATCACATGGTCCAGCATTGGATTTCTTGCCAGTGCCTTCGTAGACACTGAGCACTCCACAGCCGCTGTCTTCTTAGATAGATGATCTATAGATAAACACCTATAAAAACAAATATCTCCACGGTCAGCGATTCAGACAAATACCAATGGCTGATAACATGGTCGTTCGTGGGTGGCTGTTTACACTTCCCAAGCTATGTCAGACCACAGTACTTCTGTAAGGTCAGCAACAATGCAGTCAATCCAACAAAAATGAAACTGAAATGAAATCACTCCAACGGTATGGCAGTGATTGAAAGACGAAAGAAAACTAGTCAACCCAACGGTATGGTGATGACAAAAAGAAACAAAGAAAAAAAGACACCTCTTCAAACCTTCCTTCAACAACAATGCCTTGTAACAATCGTATCTCGAAAGAGTTGTGTGGAATTACAGCAATCAACCCCCTCAGCACAAACAGGTAGAATCAAAGGTCAAGACTAATCAATGCTCAGTAGAACTCTTAGCTCACTGTTGAACCTGCTGCCAAGGAACTCACGATGAGTATTAAACAGAATCAGGAACGGACGTCCTTGGTTTCAGTACCAAGTCCCCTATTCAACAACTAAAGTCTAGCAGACAAGGAAGATCCTGGCTCAGTATCACTACTCAGATGAGTGAGGTCAAGTGTTACTGTCAATCCCTAAAGTCTCCCCACTAAACTATTCGGAGTCTAGATGGATGAAAGAGACAACACAAAAGCTTCTGAAAATATGAATGAAAGCTTAGCACCAAAACTTGAAAGAGAAGAAAGAGAGAGGATCACAGAGAGAGAGAAGAGAGAGAAAGAGCGAAAGAACGAAAAAAAAGAAAGAGAAAAACAAAAGAGTGACAGAAAAGAAAGACAAAGAAAGAAAGAAAGAAAGAAAGAAAGAAAGAACGAAAGAAAAGAAAGAGAAAAAGAGACAGAAGAAACCTAGAAAATCAAAGAAGAAAAATCAAAAAAAAAGTTCTGTCAGTCGTTGAGCACAGTGAGCTCAAGGTCTTGGTCGTCGTTGGTGGTGATGAGCTAAGGGTGTTGCTGAATGCTGATGCTGATGAGCTTAGGGGCTTGCTGGTTACTGAAAGTTGCTGGCTGACTACTGGTTACAATGACTTTGCTGAAGGTACTTGACAGCCCTGGTCACTGTTGTTGACAATGATCACACTTCACACACAATTTTATTCTGAAAGTGGGGCTAAAAAGCTCTCTTCTTTGGGCAAAAATTTGGGTCTTATATACAAAAAAAAGGGTGGCTGTGCTACGTTTTCCCGCCATCTATGAGGGGTGAGCTTAGTCAGCGGTACCAAAAATCATTTTGCAGGGGTTGCTTATGTTGCACCAAATGAGACCATAATTAGTCAGCATTAGTCAGTATGCTTGGGCTGAGTGTTCTGTCATCACTTGATTTGGATCAAAAGTCACCTGACTTAAGATCATGTGATTTAGCATCATGTGACTGAAGGGTCATGTGACAGGCTGATTGTGCACTGCAAGAGAAATATTCATGATCATTGGTGTTCCGTTCTGATGTCACTTTGTTGAATGAGAAAATGACGCGAGGCAAGTATTTAGGGTTTTGAGGAAGTTTTCCCAGGGTAACCCATGCGAGAACTATTTTTCACAGTCACCTGACATGTGTGGGATTCAGCCTGAGTCATTGTTGAGGATGACTAAGCAAAATTCATCGCAGAATTAAATATACAAAAATATTCAGCCTGTCCGAGTTCCATTGAAAAGATGAAATGAAATATTTGTCTGAGCTGCATTCTGGCTTTAGAATAGAGGGAAATGGTTTCGTAGTGATTTCTAGGGTATTAGGCTCATGGGAGAGCATTAGTCATCCATGCACCGAACCAGTTTGGTGCAGGTCACCGCCCTGATTACTTGCGCTTGCTGCCTCCTCGTTGTGATGGGCATCTTAGGCCCATTGGCTTGGTGTGGTTTAAGAGCAGGGGTAGTACCATACTCTCATATTAACGAAGACTAAAGTTCTATTATATGTATGTATGTATGTGTATGCAAACTTTTTCTATACTAGCTTAGCCATCGTTGTCAGGTGCCTGACAACGATGAGCTCAACCCAGAGTTTGCCGGTTAGGTATGATTTCGGTTATTGGTGCTACTTCTAGGGTACTTACAGTGAAAGAGGCATAATGAATTTAAAGGTCAGTGTTCACCATCTACTGTCAATACCAATAAATAACCTTAGTGCTCTGCTACAAGGGTCAGACACCGCTCACAGCTCCTTCAAATAACTTCAAGGAGTTGCAAGGGCGGAACCCATTCAAGTTTTCCAAAGACAAGTTCAATATGGAAGTGACGGCAGCTGAACTTGTGCTCATTGAGCATGCTTTAGGATGTATAAATGAACATCAAGGAACCTTGCCCTTGCTTAATAAAGTGTGGCATTTGCTTTCTTCGGCTTCATTCTCAACCCCTCATGGACTGCCTTCCATTGGAGAAAGGTAAGTATGTTGCATGTTTTCCCTGCCAATTTGAATGACCTTGACTTCCTCAGCATTGGTAACTCCAAGATCCGCTCAGACTCTTCCTCTGAAGAAGGTATTCGTACTTCCTTACCGTCTTTCTTGGTTCAACTCTGGGGACGATATGTGAAAATTATGAAAGTTTGAATGTCTGTTAGCCACTGGATCTGGATTGAAAGTATGTCCTTCAATGTTTTGATTCTTGATTCATCATAAAACTCATAACTAAGACCATCACAACTTTAGCGTAAGTCCAACTTCCCCTTCATGATTTCTTACAGGTGATGATCATTGTCACTGTTCTCTTATATTTTCATACCCTTCTCTCACCCAGCACAATCAATGTCCTCTATTATCGCTGCCTGCGCCAACTTGCAGATACAGGCAATCTCGAATGAAAGGATCGCTATATTTTGAGTATAGGTGTCATAGGGTAAGTTCATTTGTCTAGTTTTCTCACCACTTTTAATAACCAACACTCTCATCCCTTGCACCCAATTGCACCCCGCCTCAATCCAAAGCTATTGTGCCAACCAGATGGTCAAGCACTTTATCTGAAGACACAGGAGTGCAATGTTTTACTTCTAAAGGCGATGGCCTCACTTCTCTACAAGGGGCAAAATCTTCTTTGACATTGGTATGCGCATCCTTTGTAAGAACACGAACTGGTATCTGATTTGCGCAGTTATCTACCTTGTGGCTGAGCGCACTATAATATAATGTGTGAGATTCAGTGAGGCCAGCCCTACACAACGAGCACCACTAACTTTCTCTCACATCCTTCTCTTCCTACATTCAGGATCATACACCGGCCCACGGCATCAGCCTTCCCTCAATATTGTGGAGATTGTACTCGGTCTCGACCACTATCACACCCCAGCTTCAAGTGAAGCTGACCTTGACTGTGTATGTAAGTCCTTCTCCCATTTTATTTTACAGATTGCTAAATGCAACATTGTTTTCTTTGCTTGTTGCAAATATTGATGCCACTCTTCTAATTATCTCACCAATAGACCACATACATACTCTAGACCTCCTGTTACTATTTTTGCACCTCCTTAATTTCATTATGTTGTTGGTACACCATTGTCATTACTTGATGGACCACTATAAATTCTTGTGTGTATGGGTGGAAAGCTGAAACTCTGTCTCCACACGATTGAAAGATCATGACAGTGCTCCCACTGCTTCCCAATTATCTGTCAACCTTCATCTCAATTTGTAGACACAGTATGAGATTTGCAATCTCACCTAAGCATGGAGATGGTGCATCCCATTGGATTTGGGCTGGACTGTAGTGGTCTACATCAGTGGGCGCATACTTCTCTAGAATATCAGCATGCCAATTCTCCTCTAACCATCTTAACCGGTATTTCTTGTACAGTTCAAAGTAATGACTGCAATTTTTCTCAGCCACCTCTAGACACTGTTTCAGGTCAGCCAATATATCTTCTATTGTGGCCATGGTTTGGTCAGATTGTGGGAGTGCACCCTCAGCACAAGAGCTTCTGTATTAGGTGAGTTATTGAAATCGCCGTGTGGGACAAACATACATAACTGACATCGTCACCTGTGATCCCTCTTTTCTCTGTACATCGCCTAATGTTTTTCCATTGATTTTGATCCTTCAGAAATATAAAGCCAAATGTGTTCAATGATGTATTATGAGCTTACTGTAAGTTCAAATTTATGCTGCAGTTGTTTAATGGAGATGTTTGTTGCATCACAAGGATTTGACCGTCCAACACAGAGCTAATGGTACTTTATACCCTACAAAAAATGCTGTCCTACAGAGCAGGCATTCCCATTTAGCTCAGTAGCACTATAAAACATTTGTGGTCAAATTAAGGAGTTATAGGCATATTACAGCATAAGAATTGTGGCATGCCTATTGGCATGATGACACACTTAACTCGGATGTGGCGCGCTGTAGAAACAACAATACAGAGAGGAACAATGATGCTCCAAACTGTATCTAAAAAAATTGTTGTAAGGTCGCGTGTTGCCTAGTGTGCTATACTTGAAAGGACAAGTGCGTTCGACCCTAAAGGGGAAGCAGGTGCAGCGAAGATCTAGAGGTATGCGCAGAAGTGAAGCGCGAGAAAGCGCAAGTGCGTGCAAGGCATGGGAACATGCGCGCGTATTAGCGCGAAGCGCAGGAAAGCGCGCGCGCGTATGCAGAAATGAGAGACTATGCTTAAGTGATGATATAAAACAAGATAAGAGATGTGAGATGTGATGTGCTAATGAATAGGTTTCTACTGTGACTTTCTAGGTATTAAGTAGGTAAGTAAAGATGGGTGAAAAAAATAAGTGAAAAGTCAGTCAGTAATAGTATGTACTGCTCGCACTTATATAGCGCGCCTAAGCGCGGTCATGCGGAGCTGAAGCGCTACCGAATAGGTATGTAAGGATATATATGGGTGAGAGTCCATGATAAAAATGAAGGTGGAACACTATGGTAATAAAGGAAATGGAAATATACGCACTAGGGAGCTTGGTGGACAGTGGATGGATGCATCTGGATGGCTGGCACTATAGGGCACGCAAGCGCGGGAACGCGTGCGCGCATATACATCGCAAAGCGCGGGAAAGCTGCGCCTCATATAGGAATTGCTGTGGACAGTACACAGAGTGGTGCTGCGAGTTGGTGCTGTATACTCCCTTAGTGGAAACTGCCATATCACGCCATGAGAGGCATGAGTCTCTACAGCGCCAACAGGTATTCTCGTCATTCCTGTGATGGCGTGTCCTCTGATACTGGAGTATAAATTCAAGTGTGATTGCAGGCAGAATACCTGTGAAAGTACACTATGGAAGATGATAATTCTTCAAACGAATCTCACAAGAGAGGTTCAGCTCTTCAGTTAGGACCTCATAAGAGAGCATCAGTCTTCAAATTACTCAAATTTTCTCACCTGACGCCACTGTTCAGCTTAAAATCTGATCCTCTAGTTTCTTATGGTCAGCATTTTGGACGTACTGTTTTTGCCCGCTGCAATTATCCCTCCCTGTTAACTAATGGCATACTACATTTGGAACAACTGGAAGATACAACACTGGAAGACTTTTGCACTGAGTCAATATCAACTTTATTTCTACTGGCTGGACTCTGACACTTTCATCAGAGAGCGCAGAGAGCACAAAGTTTTTCTAAAGCTCTTAGATTCTTACCCTGGACTCTTGGAGCGGTTAAAGGAAGGCTCAGAGGAGGAAGTGCTTTATGTTGGAGAACTGGTAAGTCACCCAAACCTATCCAATGTGCTCACTTAGCCCAGAAGATCAGTAAAGGGGCATCTGCTGCTAGAGGAGAGGACACAAAGTCACTGAAACCTGTGGTAATTGATTGGATAGTACCTGCAGGTGAAGTTGTCATGCCTCCCTTGCCAAGAAATTCCAAGATCAGCCGTGGCTTCAACCACCCTCTCACTGGTCATTTACTCTGTCCTGCAGAATTGGATTAGGATAATGAGGAGTGAGTTTCTACATTAAAACACCAAATAACTGATGCTTCATGGTCTCAATCAGGATGAAACAGAATCTGCAAAGCAGTGTAATCTCTGTCAGTGGGGACCAATGGCCTCTTTTATTATACGCCAATGAGGCTTACGATCCAGACGATCCCTGGAATGGCCTGCTCAGGACACGCCTGCTAATAAATGTAAGTGAGCCTAGTGTATCATGAATACATGAACATTTATTGCATATCCTCTCACCAGGCATTTAGGCATGTATTTACTTTGCCAAGTTCGGTTGACAAAGAGCCCAAGGCTACAAGAGCTGGAAATGCCTGCCTTCACGGTATGACTGCTGTTACCGCTGCTTCCATAGCATATGTAGCGACCCAGGTTTTTAAACTGCTTAGAGTTATCCTTGGTGTTGCGGCTGATAATTGAGATAAGTCAGATTTGCACTGTGCTCATCGTCAGTATTCTCTCGCACAGACATGTCAACCGATTCAGAGACATTTTATCACTCTCTTCTGGACCTTTTAGAAGATCTAGATGAGCAGGGAGAAGTAACAGAACTGCGGGTCTGGTGGAATCGGTGAAGGTACAACAATTCAGATGGTGAGTCTGAACAATGTGTTGGGTCTTGCAGAACCTAGCTGCTATTCGACCCTAAAGGGTTTCTGGACTAGGCTTAAGGCTCAGAGGAGAGGAAATATCATAAAAACTACTGAGGACTCTGACTCATACTGGTAACTGGTGAAAAGATTGATTGCTTATGTAAGCTACAAAAGTGCCAACATAAGGTAAGGTAAAAACAGTCTCTACAAGCCCAACCAGAAATGAATCCTTACATCGGTATGTGACATGTTTTGGTGATAATCTTTCAAGCTCTTACTTGTATTCAGTCAGATCTTTCCTACTTCCTCAGCTGCAAAAAGGACCCTCAAAACCAACAGCCCGCTGTCTAAGATCTGCCAAAAGTGCGCCTCTCTCAAAGGCGCAACTACTAGTATTTCATATTATATTCTTGTTAACATTGGTCTATTTTTTAATATACATGTTAGAGCAATATGATGTATGTATTTCGTACAAACTGAGAACGTTTAACACAAACCGGTGAAGGTACAACAATTCAGATGGTGAGTCTGAACAATGTTGGGTCTTGCAGAACCTAGCTGCTATTCGACCTTAAAGGGTTTCTGGACTAGGCTCAAGGCTCAGAGGAGAGGAAATATCATGAAAACTTGCTGAGTATTCTGACTCATACTGGTAAATGGTGAAAAGATAACTTGATTATGTAAGCTACAAAGTGCCAACATAAGGTAAGGTAAAAACAGTCTCTACCAGCCCAGCCAGAAATGAATCCCTACACCAGTTGATATACAACAATGAGTCTTTCTGGCAATCATTTCTTGTAGCTAACTGTAAGTTGATGCAAGTGAGAGAGTATTTGACAGCGCCACAACATCAGACTGACCTTGCAGCTCAATACCAGACCAGGCCTCACTGTCATGACATGGTAGCGCCCAGCCACCTATAGACTCTATTACAGAGATGATAGAGACCTGCCTACACAGAAGAGCGCTCTGAGCAGCTGTAAGTTGATAAAATTGAGATAGTGTTTGACAGCGCCACAATATCTGGCTAATCTAGATTTCACCACCAAGTGTTACCTTTAGCTGTCACAGCCTGTCAGGTGATACCAATAATGGAGTTGTTTTTCAAACTTAGCATGTTAAGCACATATTGCAATTGGTGATCACTGCATGCCATCAGGTAGTATGATTGGGAGTTTGGGAACTCCTGCCATTTGTCTAACCAACGATTAAGAATTTATTTACTCAGCAAGTTGATAGACATTGCAGCCTTTCCCTTCAATATGAGAGAGGTAGAGGCGGTACTTTTCATCCAAGTGACTCCGGATAAACAAAGCATTGTCTGCAGATCTATCATAATGATACAAATTTCATTTATTTTGCACTAGAAAATGCATTGTATGACATTATCTTTTCGCGGTCAATTGCCTGATGTAATACTTGTATGTGCTCCTGGAAGACAATCAAATTCATGCTAGTTTCTGCATTGGAGTCCGCCGCAAGTTTGACATGATACTCTCGAACACTAAGGATGAGGCATGGTCCCAGTACAAACATCTGTATGAACAATAGAACACCTTTGATTGTCTGAGTTCCCATAGAATATGAATTCTACAGAAACAATGAGCAGTGGTTACACACAGATATCAGCTACAGGTTGGCACACCTTGAACTCTGGAGAGTGACTAACTAGCTGGAGGCAAGAGACACCAGTGTGATGCTCAGACCCGCGTTGGGCAGGAACAAGTGTCTTTTCATATTGGTGTCAGAGATATAGGAAGTTATTGGTTCACATCATTCCTAATGCCTCTAACAACGAAGCCTTCCTCGGTCACACCTAATCCGATGGTTTTCTGTTCTCAGGTCCGATTTTCTGTTCCATCCGTCTGTGTCCTTTCATGTCCGTCAAGTTCCGCTGGTGCATGTTCATTTCTATTCGGGTTGACTAATAGTGTAGTATGGCTTATTACATGTATCCGCGTGTTTCGTTCCGTGCATGTTCACATTACATATTCCTTATCTGCCTCATTCCATCGCTACAAGTCTCGCCTACAGGTTCCGGACGCTCATGCAGTAGGATATAATCTCGCACGTTACATACAGTAAAGTACTTCTCTTCCCTTGGATGCTATCCCTTTGTTTTGTGAAGTCACTTAGACGTTCCTAGTATCTTTGACCAATTGACAAGCTTTGACTCTCATTTACTTGAACCTGCACATTCTCGACCGCTCCGAGAGCGTGCATCTAAGTTCCTTACCTAGGCTCTGCATGAATCTGTTCCGTATGCGGATTCAGACTTAGCATTCTATACCTAGTTATACCTCAGCTACCACCCTCGTCCATACCTAGCCGCTACCTGCGGGATGGCGCCTTACCTAGTAATCTCTCGCTCTCGCTCATTTCTCATCGTGCCTTCATCGGGTTCGCGTTCTCGCCTTCGCTCTCATCGTCAGCTTCACTTTCCTTAATCGCACTCGTTCTCACGTGTTCCGCATCTACTCCCTTCGCATTATGTTTGAAGGAAGTGCTTCGTAGCAATCCTCTTGGGTCAACACAGCACACCCGCACTCAGTAGGATTTTATTAGTGCTCTAGCTTACTTGCTAGCAAGTTACTATTACTTCTTTACACCAGCAAAGCTAGCATGTGCAGAACTTGAGAAGAAAAGATAGCCCCATTCATTTTACAAGCTCACCTTGCAAAATAAAGCATGTGAAATTCTATCAGTACTCTGAAACAGTTCTGAATGGTCATTCCTGTCGATGGACCGAGCTGTCATAAGCGACAGAACTGTATCACAGCAATCCAGACTGAAAGACACAGTGCAAGGACTTCCAAAGCAGTGTTGAGCATCCAAATCATTGAAATCAGAAGCTGGACATCCCTGAAGTTCATATTCATAAGTACACATATATGTGCCAGAGAGTATCAGTTTCTCTGGTGTTCGTCCAATGAGCTTTGTTCTTCAAGTCAATGAGTAAAGCTTACCTGCTATAACATACTTGCCTGCTATTGCCACGATTACTGCACACGCGATGTTTACAGCCAGGAATATGATAACAAGAAAGATGAGCATCATTACAGATCCTTGATATATGGCATACAGTGGCTCAAAAAGTGTCTCAATGTTTGTTGGTTTTCATGTAATTGCTTTCTTATGAGTCAGGGTGTGGGAATCTGACTATTCTATAGGGAGGTGTCAGAAAGGTCCACCTCCCAGCTATATTTATGTTCCCTATAGCGTGGGAGGCCGACGCTACCGTGTGAAGATATGGACATTTTGGTTTGATGACTCATTGAGACACTTTTTGACTTTAAGTTTGACCAATACAATCTTTATAATTCTAGTACTTTGTGTTACCTCCCTTGGCTTTAATCACTGCTGCTATTCTTCTGGGCATACTTTCTATCAATCTCTGACATTCCTCTTTGGTAATTCTTTTCCACTCTACCACAACTCTCTCCCATAGTTCAAATAGCCCCTTTGGAGAATCTTGATAGGCAGCAAGTAGTCTTTTGAGTAATTCCCAGAGATGTTCAATAGGATTGAGGTCTGGAGACTGTGCTGGCCATGATAGAACATTGATATCATGGTCTTCAAACCATTTGGTGGCCAGTTTTGAGGTATGCTTGGGATCATTGTCCTGCTGTAAAATGATGTCTTCTTCATCAACACCTGACTCCTGCATGCTTCTGAGCAGACACTCCTCTAGAATGGAGACATACTGCTCTGCATTCATCCTTCCCTCCACCTCACACAAAATCCCCACTCCATTCCATCCCGTACAGCCCCATACCATCAAGTTTCCCCCTCCAAACTTTAGTGTGCCTTTCACCTCTCTTTCTCCTAGTGGTTCTCCTGCCTTTTTCCATACATATTCCTGACCATCTGACCCTAGTCTATTGATTTTGGTCTCATCTGACCAAATGACCCTCTTTCAGTCCTCAATAGTCTAGTGTTGGTGCTTTAGAGCAAAGGCTAGTCTCTTCTTCCTATGAGCTGGTGAAAGAAGTGGTTTCTTCATCTTGGTTACAGCTTTCAGGTTAGCTGCCTTGAGAGTATTTCTTACTGTTTGGGTGGAGACAGTGGAGGGGATGATGGAATTAATGAGTTTGATGGCTTGAACAGCATTTGAAGCTTCTCCAGATAGAATAGAATGGACAATAGCTCTTTTGTCATGAGGGGTGAGCTTAGAGGGAGGTCCCATATTGATATTTTCTTTGTTTGAAATAGACTTCTTGATGACTCTAGCAATAGTAGCCCTGCTAAGACCAGTTTTGGAAGCAATCTGTCTAGTAGATAGACCAGAGGAGGTAAGAATAAGGATATTATCCTTTTGAGCAGGAGAGATAGACTTCATGAGGATTATGAAGGATTTCATGGTTTAGCTTGTACTTATATAAATGTCAGATATTAAAATCAGACCATATAATTAATATGACACCATTTTTTGAAATATTTAGTAATGATATTTTGTCTAGGTGGTCTGATTTATCTAAAAAAAATTAAAGTCAAAAAAGTGTCTCAATGAGTCATCAAACCAAAATGTCCATATCTTCACATGGTAGCGTCGGCCTCCCACGCTATAGGGAACATAAATATAGCTGGGAGGTGGACCTTTCTGACACCTCCCTATAGCATAGTCAGATTCCCACACCCTGACTCATAAGAAAGCAATTACATGAAAACCAACAAACATTGAGACACTTTTTTGAGCCACTGTATATACATGTGCCTAAATTGTATAATGGGATCTTTCTGCCCACACATTGTTGGACTATAAGTCTAAGTTCTCCCTCTAAATCTAAAGTATCTAAGTACAATATGAGCGCCACCGCCATACATTACTAGAGACTCTGCCAATTAGTTTTCTGACTCATTAAAAGTCACTGTGCTCCACCACCCGCATGCGCACACCGCTACTGCTTAGTGCGCACCATCGCTTATCATCAGCCACTGTCGCTCATCAGCGCTTCACATCGCCTTCGCCCACTCGCACTTCGCTCATCGTCACGCACCTTACCAGGCTTGACTAAGGTGCCCGGTTCAGTGTTTCCCTCCATATTATACACTTAGAGGAACCTTCTCAGTAGCAATCCCCTTGGGCCAACGTATATCTCACTCATTGAGGACTACTTGAGTTATCTCATACTACTCATATTACCCCCACTTCCCATTCCTCTTCTACAACTGGAGCCCACCGCGAGGGGATCATCTGAGAAAACTGGTAGGTTACTCAGGCCTATGAAAGAACGCATCGCAAGAAATGAAGTATTAGAAGAATTCCGAAGACCAGTTGCCTCTTCGCGCCTATCCACCATTCAGGAAATTTTGACTCTGGTCAAATACAAGCACCTGCAGAACTTCTCGGAGCCG